ACTATGAAGCAATCCACAGCCACTGCAGCAAGAGTTCTGTGCCCTCAAAATAGAACCCAATACCTTTAGAGCTATTTAACTCTCAACTAAACTTCTTCTACATATACTTGGCTCACAATACTCTAAACATACTATCTTTCTGTTTCTCAAAAATGATATGCTTGTTCTCACCACAGTGTCTGCATTTACTGTTCCTTCTCCTTGGATGGAATACTGTTCTTTCCTTCTGGCTACTTACTTCCAGAGAGACCTTCCCTAATCACATAACACAGGAAAGCCGCCTTAAGCCCTCATCACTAAATCATCACTATTTCCTTTCCTTTGTAATATGTACCTCTAACACAGGTGAACTCTTAATAAATTGGGTTTGTTCTGTGCAAGTCCACTTACAATACACTGTATGGTAAGAGAAAGTATAAATTTAGAGCATCAATACAGTGCAGTGCCATTCACCTATTTCACGTTTCATATGTATGATACATGTACAACACAAAATTTGTATTAATCGACTGTCAGGCTGTGGTCAACATCAAGCAATAAAGTTTTGCTAGGAGTCAAAATTATGCGTGGATTTCTAACTACAGGGGTGGGGTTGTAGGTTTGGCATCTTTCACCCCACACAACTGTACTATCCTGTTTATTCCATATGTGCTTATCTTTTGCCCCCTGCACCCCTAGTCACCTCAATGCACTGCAGCTTGTCATATCTTAAGTGCAAAGGAACATTTGGCTAAGTACTCAAAAAGCATCTTCTGAGTGAATAGAATATTATCTAAGTATCTTAAATATTTTTTAAGTTTTAAGAATTCAGGAAAGTGCTCGCAATATATTGCAGTATTTAGTGGGAAAGAAAAAGGTTATCAGCTAATATAATGACAAACTAGTTGGGTGGGGATAGCAAGGCAAATACACAGGAAAGAAAAAAAATAGCTTGTTAGAATATTTACATCAGGGTGATGTGACAAGTAAATTCTATTCACCTTTTCGGTTTCTTTAATTGTAGTCACTTTTTCAAATTTTCTGCCTTGATCAGTCTACTTAAAAATAAATGACCATGGCCCTCCCTGGTGGCGCAGCGGGTTAAAGCACAGCACTGAGAATCTGAAGCCGCTTCCGCATGAGTTCGATTCCCGCCTGCCGGCCTGCCCCGGAGGAGACCACATGGCGAGCCAGACCTCTCCTGGCCCGCCCGCTGCTTCCCTCAGCAGTGTACTTTGTCAATCTGCCTGTTCTGCTCCCCACTCTGTCTCTGGTGAAGCCTCTCACCGCCCCTGAGCCTCTGGCCTGTACCCCAGTTCTGTATGCACAAATAAATAAATAAATCTTTAAAAAAAAAAAATAAATAAATAAATGACCATACTTGAAGAATGTTTAGATTTTGTGCACATAACTGTAGCAGACTTACCGATGGAATACCTTATGGAAGTCAGAAATTGTGCTCTTCAAATATGTGAAAATCCTCGAAAAATCAGGAGAGGTGAAGAAAACCTGTGACCTGAAGAAATACCTCATAATTTGTCAGACCTCTGATCTAGGGCTATATCCAGAGTCTCACCACACTAGAAAAGTAATTGCATGTAGCATATTCTAGAAATCCTCTAATAAATCCAAGATTTGTAACACCTACCAAAAAAGTTGACTATTTTGTTTTAGTTACATGGTTGACCCCTGTCTCAAGCCTCCCTAATACAGTCCCTTTAGCCTCCAATTCTCAGAAGGTTTACATAAAAGACACATTTATACTTAATGAGTACTCAAAAAAAAAAAAACCTGAGCTCTCTGAACTAGGTCATCTTTTCAAAAGAGAAACTCAGCCCATAGTCTAATTTCAAATGCTAGTCCCATCTACAACACCCCAGCAAGAGCAGCAGTTAATATTAATTAAGAGCAGAAATAGGTTTATTCTTGAACATCTTTTCTCTCAACCAAGTCCATGAGGCTTCCAAGTAGAAATATGCCAATTTTTCTACATTTGAGATAAATCCAAATACCACTATGTCAAACCCTTAAAACAGGATTCATTTCAGTCATTTTCACCCAGCAAAATCACTTATGTAAAATGTTTTAATGGGACTCACTATTGAATGCCAACCAAATGACTGAATATTTGCCCCTATACATACACTGCACATACATACATGCTGTACACACACATGTGCATATGCATATACACGAGTATACAAAGGGAAGCTATTTTTTTCTACAACAAAGTGTAGGACGCGGCTCCTGGCTATCTTGAAACTCAACTACTTGGGAAATATGTTAAAGAAAGTTAGAGCCACAGCTTTGAGAATGGGTCTTCAAATAAGGTCTTTGGTAAGTCTCAGCCTACACAGCTTCTAGAAGCCAAGGAGAAGCCAATGGATAATGCTGTAAGACTAATCTCATCCATAGTAAATACAAACTTTTGCCATAAATAAAAGTGAATTAAACAGGATGGATACTATCAACAGAGGTTATATGACTCCAGTGCCTTTCACACAGACTTGCTGAATCCTTTTATGCATTAATACTTTGCCAGGTGCCTGTCCTCTAAGGTTCTCAGTGGGAACAGTAATATGGTGAAGGTAGAAGGTACAACAGGTGTGTAGGTTATTTTAAATATCGCTTTAATCCCAGCACCCAGGCTGACACATAGCAGGAATTCAGTACCTATTCTAGTGGGTGCATCAAAATTTCATTTGCTTGACTACATTTTAACTGTATGTGACAGCAACAGAATCAAGCTATGCACAGAGAAAAGTTATGTATTCTGCCAAGGTAGGTGAGAGGAGACTGCCCAGAAGCAATGACCAGCACCTTCCCTGGAAGAAGATTTTCAGCATGCAATGGTTACAGGACAGCATTATGGACACAAGCATGCCTGAGCCAAGGATGAAGCAGATGGCCTGAGCTACTTTCCAAATGAAATTCCTACCAAGGTTTTATTTCCTGGTGTTTTGTTGTGCTTCCTCATCCCCTTCAAACCTTTAGCTAAGAAAGGGCACATACAGTGGGATAGTTGTGTTTCTCTACCAGGAAATTAGCTGAAAACTAACAGCAGGTAACAGAAAAATAAATACCGTGGAATGTTTTATTTGCCAGGCAGTGAGTCTGTATAATTCTTAGACCTTCTGACACAGGAAAAAAAAAAAAAATCTGAGAACACCTCCAACAGAAACAAGTTACTTTCAAAGCAAATTGCTATCTTTTTTATTTTTTTTTCCCTGGCACAGTTTTCAAATTGGTTCATGCAAAAACTATTTGATTCCTAAGAGAAAAAAAAATCTAAACATTTCACTGTCACTTCTTAGTCCCGGGAGAAACAACTGAGGATAAATGAAAGAAATTATAATGCAAGAAAAAAGGAATGATAAATTGAGAATAAGAGAAAACAGCAAGTGGAAATTTTTCAAAAATGCAGGAATAAACCATATCCAATCACATGTACTTTAAAAGCCTAAAAGAATCTTTAAAAAAAATCTAAAAGGTCTCTCTAACCTAGTGCTGGGGCATTGGGAAGCCCCTACAGGCCAGAGGAAACAGGCACCAAATCAAATGTAGCAAATGCTAAGAAATAGGAAGAATCCCACTCAAGCCCAGGCACCCCTGATTTGCCTCCATCTCCCTCCCTCAGAGAAGAGACACCACACCACCTCTGCCCAATCCTTAGACTGACAGTCAGACTTTCTGCTTACATGGCAGGCCCCTCACCCCCACCTGCCCTAGAAACAGAATCGCGTGGATATTAAAATATTCCTCCAACCTGAGGTAACAATACCTGCAAGATAAAGTTCAGACTGGTGTCTGGGACAGAGCTCTAAAAGATAGGGTTGGTGCAGAACATGTTCCTTAAACTCAAACGTGTGATTTCACAACTGCTTAGGAGGTGATGAATAATACTCTACCTTTGAGTATTTCTTAATTCCTTGCTTTGAAGATTTTCTTCTGTATCTCCAGAACAATCCTCCACCCACCTCTTCAAACTAATCTGTTTCTGCAATGAAGATCCTGCATAATTAGCCCATCGTGGACAATAAGTACCTGAACACCGATGAGAACAGTTATGACATAAAGCACCTCCTTTCCATAAAGGACTTGCTAATTATGAGCATCTATCCCAGAGGGATTATGTACCTCAGAGAAGCACAACTGCTATCTCTGCTACCTCTCGCCTTTTAATGCCAATTCATTAGGAGCTGGTGTGAACCTGGAGTCGGAGAAGTGTGTAGTGAAACAGTAAGATATCAGGCACTCACTGTATTTCTGAATTCACCACGCAAGCCAAGGGAGGCATTCTCCAGAAGCCATTTCCAAGGAAGCTGGATTCAAAATGTAATTTATCAGTCTCCTACTAGTCTCCCAAACGCCAGGCCCCAGCTTGGGGGGGGAGGGAGTTAGTGAGAGTTTACCTTAGAAGGCGGCTGCAAACAGACAGGCCTTTCAAAGCTACCCAAGGCTCTGCCCCGAGGCCCGAGGCGGGGCGAAGGGGCTTGAGGGCTTGAGAGGCGCGCGGCTGGGAGCCGGAGGCTCCACAGGTTCCCCAAAGCGCAGCCAGGCCAGACTCCCACAGGTGGGCGAACTTGGTCAGGGGAACGTAGAGCGAGAGGAGGAATCGCCGCGGTTCACTAGGAACGGGAGAAGGGAAGGAGAGGGCACCGGGTGGGGTGGGAGCTACGGCGGTAGGCTTTGCCCTCAGGAAGCACAGCGAGAGAAAAGCTCGGGGTTTTCCGCTGCCTGTTCCGCGTTCCCTCGGCGGACTTTGGTAGAAGTCAGGATTCCCGGTGGCGAGAGGAGCCACGGGCAACTCCCACCATCCTCCCTGCAAGCCTCGGTCTACTCCCAGGGCGCGGTTAAGCCGCACCACCGCTGGCAGCCGGTTGCATGCGCCCCGGCACGTACGAGTCTGCACGACCACATGCGGGCGGGGGAAGGGCGCCCGGGGACGGAGACCAGGTCCCTCTCAGGCTGTCTCCCCTACGTAAACCGATCCCACTTCGGCTCAACCCGCACCCCCTCACCCGTATTGGCCTTGATGTTCTCCCTCAAGAAGTGGCCGCTGGAGAGATGCTGGAGACCAAAGTTCTGGGCGATCCTCTGGCACACGGTGCCCTTGCCCGAACCCGGCGGCCCAAGGATGACCGCGCGCAGGAGTTTGGAAGCCATTGCCTTTGCGAAGGGGGGGCGGCCCCGGAAAGCCCCGCGAACTTTTCTCTTCTGCCCTGAGCTTGGCACCCTCCGATTGCACGGGACTCGCCAGCAGCCCCTGCAGTGGGAAGGAGAGACTTTTAAGACAACCCCTCCCGCAGCTCCGGGGCCGACTGGAAGGCGGAGTAAGGCGCCACGCTAAGCCTCCCCGCCCTCGCCCCCCGGCAGCGATTCAGGACTACTCCTGAGCCCCCGCCCCTGGCGTGATCAGCTCTCCAGAGGCTAAGAGGTCGACCCGGCCGGTCTCACCTCTACCTCCCTCCCCACGATGTGTCCAAGTAGGGAGCCGGGCGGCCCGGTGTCCCCACGCAGTCTCCACCAAGCCGGGGAAGCCGAGAGAGGTGGTGACTCCCAGCGCGCCCCCGCCGCCGCACTCACCGGGTGGCTTAGGGACTCAGCCACAGCCCCGGCCCCCGCACGTGGGCAGCGTTTAGTTCGCTCCTTGGCCCCTCCCCGGCGGCTGTCACATCCCCTGGAATCGCTGTGGCGGCCCATGCCAGCTGCCCGCTGCCCTCCGCCAGCGCTACGACCCGGCGCCCACCTCAGCCGAGGGTTGACGGATGCTCTCCCCCGCCGCGAGGAGCCGGAGTCCGGCGCCTCTCCACCCAAAGCAGTCAAATAAACACACATCGGCTGGGAAGCGGCGCTCCGAGAGGCTTCCAACCCGGATCCCGCTGGGCGGCGCCGCCTCCACCCACCCCCACTCTGATCCCCGGCCGGCCGCTCGGGACTCGCGCCTTACGTAAGCCCAGAGACCAGTTTTTCTCCAGCGCCCAGAGACCCCTCCCCTTCCATAGCTAGACTCCCATCCACTGTCCCTGGTTCTCAAAGACCCAATGGGGGGCTGCGTGAGCAAAAAATAGGTGAGAAGACGCGAGGAATCGAAGTCCCTCTTCTATGATCACCTAGGAACCCGATCTACTATTAAAAGATAGAAAAAACAACTTGTTGAGCGCCTACTGTGCGAGAAGTTCGGGGTAAGTGATTTATTTATACAACAACCTTTCAGGTGTTCACAGTGTTACTCACAGCGGAGGAAAAGGGGGCTTGGACTATAATCATTCATTCATTCAAGCATTCAAGAAATATTCATTGAGCACCTACTATGTGCCAGATAGTTTTAGGAACTTGGAACATAACTGTGAACCAGAACTTGCCCTTAATGAAAGTTTCATTCAAGGGGAAGTTTTGAACCTAATCTACCTGACTCCAAAACCTAGGTCCTTTGGGAGAAGAAAGACCTTCACTCATCTAGCCAACTGATGCCCAGTTTTTAGAACCCAAGATGTTGGCACATCTGCAACTCACCAAGTCCCAAATGGGGGTCAGCTCCTCTGGTCCATACTTTATATCCCAATTCGTATTTTCTGTTCCCAATCATACACAGCCCTCATTGCCACTCTGTCTAGTGTAATCTGTTAGTCTCTGACTTCCACCAGTCTATCCTCCATGGAGGTATTGCTAAAATGCAAGTAATGTTCTGTTATTTCCCCTCCTGAGATGTCATTGCCCCTTTAGGATAATTTTTTTTTTTTCAGGATAAATTTTATAAAATCTACAGCGGGGGCACTCAGTCCCCTGCTTATAATTTTGCATTCAATGGGTTCCCCTCCTCTGTCCTTCCACAGAATGTACAGAAAAGTCTCCTCTGGATTCCTGGCTGCTCAGTCTGTTAGGAGATTGAAGGGGCCCATCTCTGCTCCTGATCTGCCTCTTCCAAACACAGTGGTCCAGACAGCACACCCAGGCCAGTAGTTGTTCCATAGGCACACCCTTCTGTGTAAAATATTTGAGTGGATCTCAGGAGGTTGTTACAATGAGGCCCTTCAACCCTTTCGCTGGGAACTAAGAAGGTAAGTTTCTATGGGGACTGAAATCTCCCCTCTTCTTCCTGCCATATATTGTATAATATGTAGCAGATACTTTGCAGTCCTCAAACCTGAGCAGGTATCAAGGTTATTCTGAATCCTTATTAATCCTTATTGTTAAGACCCACCTGCACAGTTTCTGATTCTGTGGATCTTAGCTAAGCATTTCAAACAAGTTTCCAGGGAATCCTAGGGTTGCTGGTTTACAGAGCACACTTGTAAAAACCACTTCTACTAAAATAAGCAATGAGACATGGAGATGCCTGTGTCCTTGAGACACAGTGCCTGTGGTGTGACTCCAGTAGGTTTCAGTACATCTTGGAGGTTTGTATCTATCAAGATCAATATATACATTCTTGTATCTATCAAGAATTAATTCTGTAAGTCCCCACAGGAAACAGCTTCTACCCCACCCCCAAACTAGGTGGACTATATCTTACTTTGCCCTATAGCCCAATTCTTTTGCCTACTTTCAAAATGTCTTGTCCAGCATCATGTTAGCGTATCATAGAGCAGCTCTAGCCACTCATATGGTCCTATGTTACAGGGCAGGGAGCTGGTAATCCCTGAAACCCTGTCCATTTTAAATAGTTTCTGCCATCTGTCTCATCAAGACAAACCATATAAAACCTTTAATGGAAAGGAATTTTAATACAATTAGTGTGCAATACAAAAAGGACCAAAAATACAGTTTCCAAATCAAACACCCAAAGTCACCCACCCCCTCACAGATAAAAGTCTACCCAAAAGGGATTGGTCCAAAACAAGGCCTGAAAGCCCACCACAGGACTAAAGTACCTTCCAGCAGGGACCCATAATAAAGGGTCAGAAATGGCCAGCCAACTCTGGGAGGAAAAGAGTAAAATCAAAACGAAAATAAATGCTGCCATTGTTAACCTCCCCATGGGTGTCTCTGGCCACATCTTTTCAACCAGTCCAGGACCAAGAAACAAGAGCTGCTTCTTCACATGTCTCTCGGCTCCATGTGCCTCCCTCAGGTCACCTTCAGGCTCTCCATCCTGCTTCCTTTCTCTTCAGTCTCCTCTCCAGATTCTTCTCTTTTCTCAGCTCCACCCTCCTTTGTGTGGGGCAGAGAACCTGGAACTTCCCCCTTTTCCTGGGGAACACCCTGGTAACACTAAAACTAGATGCAGTAGGAATTTAGAAGCTTATATTATGAAAAAAAAGAGTTGTGGTAGAAGTAAACTTAGAGAAACCCAAATTTCCAAAGAGCCTTCCTGTACAACCACCTCAAGATCCCCCACAGTAAGTGATAGAGCCCAAACCCAAAGAAAGGGGTTTTGGAGTCAAAACTCCATGGAATCAGATATCTACAGCACCATTTACTAACTGAACAACTTGGTCTCTGTGAGTCTTAATTTGCTTATCTGTGAAAGGGAGATAATCCTCATCTCACAAATTTGTGGTAAGATTTAAATGAGATAACATATATGGAAGATTAAATACAGCAAAGAACACAAAATAATAAATGTTCAAATATAAGTATCCTCACTGATGGAGGAAGGAATGTAGAGGAGGCATCACAAAACTGAGGCACAAAGGGGATGGGTAGAAGGGGCTAGTGCAGCAACTGACACAGCCATAAAATCAAGGTCAACCCTTGCCTGGGATGCCTGAATATCTGCAGGAGGTCCCAGCAGATAACAGACTGTAAGGGGCTGTGTTTGAAGGTGAAAGATAAGGACATTGAGATGAAAGTCATCAGAACTCTCTTCAGAATCTATTCAAAGTCAACGAACCTAAGCTCACAGGGAGTGAGCCCCTCCCAGGGAGAGGCTGTCTATATCAGGGCATCTCTCCACCAGCAAGGGGGCAGCCATACCTCTGCCCACCTCTGACTATGCAGGTGCTTCTTTCCACCTACTCTCCCCCTCTGCAGGGCAGCAGCGTCCTGCTTGCCCATGACCTGTACCAGGCTGAGACTTCTCTGCACTGACCTCCCTGGGGGGGGGGGGGGTGCTCTCTTAGTCCACCCGTCTGCAACCATGCAGATCTCTTTCCTTGCAAACCTGTCCCTTTCAGGACAGCGCTTTCTGTCCACTTGTGTCTCTGCAAGTGTCTTTTTCTTTCCTGTCTCTTTCTAAGAAACTCACTTTTTAAATATAACTGAGTCTCTGCCTTATGGAGAATTCCACTGCATGCCACTGAAAGGGAAGCTCTGGTGAAACCTTTCCCAGAGTGAATTCAAGGACACCGAACTCAAAAAGATGACATCACTCACTATGATTAATCCTGGTCCTCGATTTCAGTACCTAAATTTTGAGGAATAAACAAGTTCATGTAATAAAGCACCTAGCAAGCTTCCTGGCCTTTGGCAGGTACTCTACAAATGGTAACTATTCTTATTACACATACTCCTATAATCTATTTCTTCCTCTTTCCTTTGTCTAGGGCTTTTAACCCATTTAGAATACTTATTACAATTTGAGAAATAATATACCTTACTGTGTTCATTTCCCAGGTGGACAAACTAAACTCCCAATGGCAAAGGCCAAATTTTTTTTTGATATATAAGTTTATTTTTACATCATTTTGTACTTTTTTTTTTTCATCTCAATGGTAATCCCCGCGGAGTTCCCATCACCATGTCACCCGTGTGCCATCACCATAATCCCGTGCACTTCCCTGCCCACCCTCCCCATTTTTGATCCCATTCCCCACTCTACCCCCACAAAATGTCTCTGGTATATGGTTGTTCATTATTCTTGTTATTTTCTCGCCTGGTTCATTATACTCCTGCTATGAGTGAAACTATCCAGTATTTTTCTTTCTCTTTCTGGCTTATCTCACTAAGCATGATCTTTTCCAGCTCCATCCAAGTTGCTGCAAAAGACACGTGTTTCTCTTTTTTTGGTTGCTGAGTAATATTCCATTGTATATATGTACCACATCTTTTTAATCCAGTCATCTCCTTTTGGGCATTTGGGCTGCTTCCATGTTTTTCCAATTGTAAGTAAAGCAGCAGGTATCTTTTTCAATCAGTGTTTTTGTGTCTTTTGGGCAGATACCTAGGAATGGGATTGCTGGGTCATAGGGAAGCTCCATGTTTAGCAGTTTGAGGAACCTCCAAACAGTTTTCCATAGTGGTTGTACTATTTTGCATTCCCACCAGCAGAGCAGGAGAGTTCCTTTTTCTCCACATCCTCGCCAACTTTTGTTGTTGCTAGTTGTTTTAAGATGTGCCATTCTCACTGGGGTGAGGTGGTATCTCATTGTGGTTTTAATTTGCATCTCCCTTATTACGAGTGATGTTGGACATTTTTTCATATGCTTGTTGGCCATTTGCATTTCTTCTTTGGAGAAGTGTCTTTTTAGCTATTCTGCCCATTTTTTGATGGGGTTGTTTATTTTTGTTGAGTTTCATCAGTTCTCCGTATATTTTGTGATCAGTTGGCAAAGATCAATTTTATTCATCTTTTTGTCCTCAAAAATGCATAGCACTTTGACTGTCACAACTACTCTGTTAATGTTCACAAATGCCTGTCCCTTCCTTAACACACTCTACACATAGCCCTGTTTCTACTGCAACTGATAGAGGCTAGAAGAAAAGGGAAGGACACCATACATAGCATAGGGATCTGCACATACACACAGCATAGGCACACAAATACTATGTGATTAATAATCTGCTTTCTTTGAACTCTTGTTCTGAACTGAAAGTCTACTGTGTAACATGGTGGTCCCCAGGAAAAGGGAAGGTTCCAGTTTCTCTGCCCCACAC